TTCCACAAGTACAGAAAAGTAAACACTTCTCTCGAAGTCATGCTCCTAAGGCCTGGCACAGATCAGAGCACAAAGCCTACCCACAGCAGTGTGAGCTTTGGCCCTCGGGCAGTTTTGAGAGGGCATGGCTCTCTCTCTAATCGACTTGGCTGACCTGCTCTTGGTACAAGGCCCAGCTGAAACCAAAGCCATTTTCTACATCAGGCACATAGCAAGTCACTTTACCACACAGTGAAAGGATATGGAGAGCCAAGACAAACAGCATCTAGCACCCAGACTTCCAAATGTCTTAATATGAGCACACTTAAGCCACATCTCAAAACTATATTGGGTCAAAAATCACTCTGGAACACACGTGTCAGAAGGAGCCCAAGGACAGCTACCTATTTTCTGCTCTGAACACAGCCCAGTTGTACCCAAGTAGACCAGAAAAACTTGGGAGAAATACGTCAACGTGTTTCTTTGGGGCTCTATTTCACATTCACTTTTATCTAACAAAACAGCATTTTGGACATTATATCATAACTTAGAAACCAACATTATTAATGTAATTACCAAGCTGGCCCTGCTTGGAGCTTGGGATTTGGACCTGATGACCTCCATAGGTGCCTTCCAACCTCATTTATTCTATTCCATTAGTGAACACCGCATATAGCTAATCTCCACTCCAGTTATCACATCTGCTGCCCAAACAGGAACAGTCTGTCAGGCTTTCAGAAGATCTTTTAGTAATGAAAAGTGACTGGGAACCTCATGCTGTTTTTAATGATCTACTTGGCATCATGGTCTGGAAGCTGAGCTCAGAAATTGTAGCAAAAAAAGCCAACTTTGTGTATTAGAAGCATTTGCACAAATATGCATCCAACTTGGTAAATTTACATGCTGACTTTTCCACAGACAGGGTTTCTTTAGCTTCTTCTCATCTACTGTCTTATCTCCAACTTCCTTGCTCTTAGTAAAATGGAGCTATTAATTACAGGGCTGTGTCAGCAGCCCCAAAATGTTTCACTATTCGAGGCCCACATCCAAATTATTCTGGTTACTGCACAGACACAAAGAACAGAGACATCAGGAGCAATTAAACCAAATTGATAGGAGGCTCAGGTTTAATATGGATTACAGATATCACGTAAATTTCTTGCATAAACATAATCATTAAAAACTGAAGTGACTTTTCCCAGATATATCCTCACAGGAGACACTAAATTCAATGAAAGATGGTTTTCAGGATCCTTTAGCCTCTTAGGAAACACTAAGAGGTGCTCCAGTACTACTGACCTGACTCTACCTGCTGTCCCTCATGACTAGCCAGGAGAAAAAAAAAAAAGCAAAACAACTGCAGAAAAACACACCTTGTGTCCAGGGAACCTAAATAAGAGTTTGGCACAAAATCATTGACTTTGTATGCATTTTCATAAAGACTGAATGACCAAATTTCTCCTCAGCATGATGTGAGACTTCAGCATTAACAACTCTGACGACATTACAGACTGAATGCGTTTGGCACATATGCTACACAAAGGAAACACTCAACATTTCAAAACGAAGCACCCCATAAAAATATTCACCTTTTGAAGACAAGGCACCCTTAAACAAGAGGTGCATAGAACAGGGCTTGCAGGAAGGGGTGTTGGAAAACTCTGACATGTTCTGCACCAATTGGTATTTCTATCTGCACACACAGATAGCAGAGGCCGCTTTACATACTACCTCCAGAAAATTTCTAGCCCCAGATGGCTACACTCACCATCTGTCTCTGCATTCAGGAAATAGACCTCAGCCAACTAAGCACAGAGTCAAACTCTGCCTGTACCTTCTAAATCCATCTTCAAGTACAAAGAAGTGGCTTCCTTTGCGCCCAGCAATACGGCTACAGCTGGAATCCAGAGGAGTTCAGAAAAAAAAAAAAGAACAGGTGCTAATAACAGGGCAAATCAGGTATAAGCACTGATTTCAGAAATGTATGTAAATTACTTTACAACTACTGATCTTTTTCAGAGTCATTAAATGTTGTCTTCTGCATTTGTCTCCCTGCATTTCAAATTGTTTTTTGAAATTAGAAGTACATAAGTACAATGTGTTGAAACAAACTACCCAAATAGAGAAATCAAAGTAAAAACTTTACTCTTGCTTTCCTGTTGCTCAAATGTCGTTATCCAGAAATAAGAAATGTATTTTGCTCCTTGTTTTTTTTTTTTGTTTGTTTGTTTTTTATAAGACTGGATTACCAAGCAACACTTTGTGTGTGGCAACTTTTTGCAAATCATTAATTAAAATAAATCAGTAAGGGGTGCTGCTGCTTTCCTTCCAACCCCAGGAACAGGCACACACACACACTGGGTGGGTTTAAGAATAATAGCACAGAGACATTACCCTTCAGTGAGATTTAACACTTCTTTGCTCCCAGCAATGCAGTCATTCAGTGACTCCTCTCTGCTGGGCTTTGTGGTCTGCAAATTTTAGCACCCAGATGCAAAAACCACTCACATGGTTATAATAGAAAGGGTGGGCTCTGCTGTCAGGAAGGGAGAACAGGAAGGAGCTGAAGTGTGATGGGAGCTTCTTACATGAGATGGAAACATGCAGTGGAAACTGAATTATCATCCCCTCAGAAGCTCCCACTGCATGCTAAGCGACCTCAGATCACACTGCCAAAAGTTCACAGCCCAGCACTGGGCAGGGCTCATTCCACACAGATATTCAAAGGCTCCTGACCCACTGCCAAGTGCTCAGTTTGTGTGACAAGGGTCGCTTTGTCTCGGAGCCCCTCTACCTCCCAGCACATGGGAAACTTCAGAAATTCCCTTACCAAGGAGAACAACTAAGCTGAGTAACATTGGAATTACAGGCTCTTAAAGTTAGTTTGCTGCTGGAGCCAAGACATATTTCCAGGACTTCTCAGGACTGAAAACAACCTTCTACTTTTAATGGCTTGCCTTTTATCTTTAATAAGGGATTAGGAGTTATTTTTCCAGCTAATACCTTAAAATCCAGATAATCATAAAAGCAATCAGTAATACCCAATATATGTTAATTACTCATTTTCTTCTTGTCTCTCTCTGGCATGCTGTCACTCATGTACATTAATTTGTCTATAATAGGGCTGCAAATCTAAATCAACAAAAGGCTTTCGGCCCTCTGGGAAGTCACAGGTTCAGACTTGAGGGATTAACAACAGATTATAACTGCAATGATGGTGAAGAAAACAACATTATAGCCTTAGAAATGCCAAACTATCCAACCGTCCATTTGCCTGTGCCTGAATCTACGATTCACCTTAATGTTCCTACAGAAGCCAGCAAAGCCCAACACTGCTGTAAGGTAAGCTAACTAAAGAGACTTCTTGCAAACCTTTCAGCTGAATGGCAATAGGGGTAATCAAAGCCATGTTTGCAAAGTTACCCCCAGTGAAACATGACCCTAAAATAGTTTTCTATTACATGTCTATACTGGCCTTTCCAAAGGAGGAATACAGCAGGTTGAGCGGCTTTATATTTGACATCATTGATGGCAGAAAGAAAAGTTGAAGAATAACAGTGATAAACAGCACATTGCTCAGACTGATAATACTTAGGGCTGCAAGAGATCTGAATGAGTGGAGTGTTATTAAAGGAAAATATCTAGTTACCTACAACCCCTTGAGCACATGAAGCAGACAGGTAATCTTCTTCAACTCAAGTTTATATAAGTGCTGTACCAAGTCTTGCAGCTGCCTCTTCCAACACTGCTGTCACGCAGCTCAGTTTGGGCAAGTCTGTCAGACAAGTACAGCTAACAAGCGCTAAGTGAATGAGACACTTCTGCAAAAGCAGGGATAATGTCCTACAGAAGGCTTGTTTCCAGACAAAACCCTCAGGTCATAGCCTGGTCAGGAAGAAATTCTCCCCATCAACAGCAAAATACCATACAGTTGAGCTTCAAAGATAAGGATTTCTGAAGGCTTCCCATGGCCTTTTTCTCAAGTAGAATGCCACAGATTAGCTATTTAAGCTACGGATGTGATTTATATGTATTATTTATTTTTACCAAAACAGAGCTCATAAGCAAAACTTTTCTCCAAAACACATTATACAGGCTTCAATAGATGCATGAATGTATACACACTGTTTGCCCAACCCGTTAGCACCCACAATAAGGGAGCTTTGGCAGTAGGCACACTGGTCCCGAAGCAACAAAACTACTATCCATGCTGGGCAAAGCCGAGCTACTTGGCAGCAGGCAGTGAGGGGAAAGGAAGCAGATCAGACCACACGCTGCCCTTGTTCAGAACAACAGCTGCTCAGTTAGCGAATTTACACTGCATAATGAGCTAAGAGACCTGCAGGACTACCTGAAAGACCAAAAACTTTGCCATTTTCTTCCAATAATAAATTTATTGTCCTCTACTTGGCCACGCTAGCCAAAATCTTTTGTGTACAGAGTCAGAGCAGAAAACACAGCCCACAGGCAGATTTGTGAGGTTTTTGAGGAGAAGTCAGGTTTAGTCAATTTCTGCCTATTTCAAGGAGTCAAACCCAGGTGTTTAAAAACCCTTCATTTTGCTAGAAAAGATAATATTCTCCTTGAAAAAATGCTGCCAGAAACACTAATGCTGTCTCCTTTTAAATCAAGGAATAGGACAACTAACTTATATACCCACACCTTTCTTTGTACAAAAAAAAAAAAAAAAATCTAAATGACGAATATGTATGCTTTTTGACAAAGCAGACATCCAGAAACAAGAAATTTACACCACTGAGCCCAACTACCGGAATGCAAAGCAAGACTGGGGAAAAAGACACATTTCATGGAAACCTCTCATAGCACAAAATTCAGAAGCTAAAACTTTTGGAAGAAAAAAAAATAAATCACATAGCACAGAATTACATAACAAGGAAACACCTTTCATTACTCAGAGCAACAGCACTTCAGTCATGAATATGTAGAGTACAATCCCCTTCACTCCCAAATTTTCCCCTGCAAAGTCTCAGACTGCCCTTTTCTGCTCAACCAAAACCTACTTCCACTTCACTGCTGTGTTCCTTGCTCTCTTCATATCCCAGCAATGCAGATGAAGACCATAACGTCGGAGTTGTCTTGGTTCTGTTGAATCCCTGCTCTTTATATTCAGGTTGGGATCAGGAAACATAAAGATGAGTCCATCACACGGATCAGAACTTATGACAAACACCTCAGAGGCCACAGCTACTGAATTCAAAAGCCCTTTCACTGCACGTATGCAAATAGGCTTTTAAAAACCTTGTGCTTGTGGGTAATTTGGACTAATTTGCACCTGTGATGTTGCCTGGCAGACACAAACACCTGGTAGAAATTTCAAACATGATGTAGAACAGGTGGTATCTAGCTTCCAGAGACACGGCTAGAATAGTTTTTGTTACATTCTCTGAAACCTTTCATTGAATTTTGAACAGACATTTGTCCTCACTGCCCTTTCTCCCCCTTCACCCCAGAAGCAATGTGAGCCTATTTTTTTTTAATATTACCTTGAAATTTATACTACACAAATTGAAGCACTCAGTGAATTTATAACACAGCTTTCTGAGAAGTCATCATTAATGGCTTTAAAAGTCAATAAAACTGACAGCATCCACTTTTTCTGCTGTACAGCTGCGATAAAACCTTATCAGAAGCACACTTAAACACAGACCTCTCAAAACCTTTCCATCAGACTTCTTTTCCCCAGCCTTATAGCATCTCTAAAAGTGGCAAAAAAAAAAAAAAAAAAAAAAGATTTGCACCTCAGTTACCATATGCTAAAACTATCAGCACTGACAGCATGGCTACCAACCTCCATGTGAACCAAGTTCTGATGTGCTGGCTTTATATCTGATGCATCTGATTAACAGCAGCTAATTCCCAGGCCCCCATACCAGGAGTTTAACAAAATACTGAGAAGTGGCAACTACACTTTAAGTGCCCACACATGCTCACATGTTTCTGAATAGCACAAAGTGAGTTTTATCAGCTTGCACAGAAAACCAACCTCTCTCCAACACAGCCATGGATGTTTACACATTAACACTTCTTTTCAGCTTAAAGACAATTTCAAGATTGCAGTATTTGAGCTTCCAACTCACTTGCCAGCACACACGTGACCCAGGATTGATTTCCTGGTACTAGAGCACCTACCTATAATCTCCAGAGTTAGCAGCACTCACGTAACCCCAGGAATCATCTGGTTCTTAGCTCTATTAATAGAGCCCCTGGTGTCACGGTGCTAGTGGCAGGGCAGCACTCTGATCACGTAACACCACGCGAGCTGCCCCCGCCTGCAGCGTGCTGGGCAGGCACCTGGGGTGCCATGGGCCCTGCTTCTGCTCAGGTCAGGATGAGCCAAAACCCAGGCATCCATGGAACGTGCACAAGATGCCAGCATCCGTTGCTTTACGGTGAGAGTAACTAATTCTCTGACAGTCTCTCGTAGAAAAAGTAAAAAGATTTGGTCCTTTTCTGCAGTAATTACACTGTTGATCCATACACAGAGATTAAAGGAAGCAAAGCCAGCTCCTGTTTTCAAATTCAGGTGACCGTCCCTCACACAAAATGCAATTAAGCTGTCAGCCCATGCAGATCCCAGGCACAGCATTCATCACAGTTGTGGTTTTGTACAGGTGACAACTCCACACATTAATTTGAACTTGCCTAAACTGAATATGCTTTAAAAACCTATCTAATTTGCATACAGGCTCATTTTTGAGCTTCAAATGATCTTATCCATTTCTATACTTACCTTACAGCTGCTCTCACCAGCAGCTGTTAGCAATCAGCTACCTGCATGACGAGCACACAGTTAATCTTTTCTCCAGACCCCTACTCCTGACATTAGCTGATTTTCTACAGGAGCTGTAGTAAAAAAACAACCACCCCCTCCCTCCCCCCAAAAAAAAACAAAACAAAAAACCCAACTCCCTACCCCCCAAAAAAACCCATAAAAAACAACACATACAAGTAACTTGGGTAAGTTATTCCATTTCTACATGGGAGGATCCATTTCAGCACAAGGGCTGTGTGGTGGGACCACGCAATCCTTATCGTACAGGACCATGGCTTCTCTTCCCTTTCTGATGGACAAACAGAAATGCTGTCTCCTGCTATAGATATCCTGGTACCTGGAGGGCCAGGAGCAATGTCAGAGCTATCAGTCTGTAAGCTACCAGCCACCACCTCTTCTCACATGTGGAAAGTTACAAAGCACTCATGGCATTGGTACTTTGCCTTTAAACTGAACTCTTCCCAAAGACAAAGCAAGGGACAGACCTCTTCAGCCACAGAGCACAAGTGACCGAGCAACAGAAACCATATTTCTCCACTGACTTCCCAACCACCACCTGCTCCTCAGTTAACCTGGAAAGTCACAGGAGAAGACACACAAGTAAAGCACTGAACAGTTACTTCTTCAAGATACAGTGATAAAAAATTTGTTCATATTTCTGTCAAAACATTTGCCTTTAAATGTTTTACTGATAAACTGATTTACAAATTAACAACCAATACTAAGACACGCAATCTGCCAATAACAACCAATACTAATCCTGCAGTCTACCAAGAATATAAAGAACAGTAAGACAGCACTGAATCAAGAACAAAAAGTACGACTGAATCTAAAAACTAGTGCAGGTAGACTTGCTGAATCCACATGAAAATCACTAGCTAAGCATCTCAGCCAAGACTATGCATAGGTGTCAACTACCTCCTGACAGGGGTACCTCGTCTATAGTAAAGAAATAGTATTACTAGCAGTTGAATTTTCTGAATTATCTAACTCATTAAAGAAATTATATGGGTGTAAATGCATTTACAAGTGTGACCTGGCTGCCAGAATGGAATGATAAATTCAATGCAAAAGGAATATTAACGTGTACCAGTTTAGAATCAACTTTGAGAAATCATGAAAAGTACACAGCCAGATTAAAATTCATAATTACTTGCCAATTTGAATCCCTGACTAGAAAAGGCAGTGGTGAAACACTTGTTTTTCATGGCTCCAGGATGAATGAGACCTTACTCCCATCAAAGAGGGAAGGAGCAGCTCAAAAGAAAGAGGCAGTGGTGAAGCTCTGGAGTTGAAAGAAATTCACTGAGAATGAACAATGAGCATGCCAACATGCACGTGGATTCATCTCATGCATTTCAGATTGTAGAATTCTAAGTTTTATTTGAATATGCAAATACACACACTGAGAAGGGACTTTTTTTTTTTTTTTTTTTAAATAAAAAACTTGGCTTAGAACCTACTGAACTTTTAATAAGAGACATGGAAATTATGTTAAGGAATACACACCTGATTTTCAGAAGCTATGAATTACAATTCCCTTCCTTTTCCTGCCCCTCAGTTCAAAGTATTTGCTTAAAAGTTCTATGTAAATACAAGCCCCTGCAAATACAGAGCAATCTCCTCATTTCCCCAGTCCACTAAATCGAAGTGCTATGCAAACTTCAGCAGAGACAGAACTACAAACAACATGAAGATCTGCCATTTGAATCACCTTTCCAGGGGTCACTGCCATCATATCTTGCTATGTCACTTACGCTGAAGATGTCTGGAAGAAGGAACGTGAACTTGCTTGGGGACTTCATTCATTTTAGTGAGTACAGGACATTCAAGGCAAAAGAGCTGTTTGATGTCACAAACAAACCGATAGATCCCTGCTACAACAACTACTGATGAGGAAACATAGCCTATCAACTTGAAAGTAGTCCCCTGTGAAGGATCTGCACGGAGGAAATGTTACAAAAAGGCCCCAGTTGTCTTTTACAATGTGTTTTTAAACAGAGCTCAACAATTTTAAAACCTTGACTGATGCAATAGCATATGTGAAGTCAAACTGAGGACAGCACATGTGTTCACTTATCAACATCAATCTGTTTTCTTCCTCTGTGCTTTTAGTAAATGGATATTCATGCAGCAGCAAATTTGGAAGAAAAAAAGATTATGAAACAAATCTGCCAGCAATCTGCTGTGCATTAACTGCTGTACTTAGGCTACACCAACACCTCTTCCATCCCCAGGCTGCCACTTCTTAGTATCCAATGATGCTGAACATCCTAAGGCAACTCTACCACACAGAAAAGTACCTTCAGAAGAAACAGGATTTTTACTACACATATCCTGCAAATGCTTTAAGGAAAGGAAGAGGTAGAAAATAAGTCAGAAGTTATTTTCCAGGTGTTTCCAACCATGTGGCAGTCGATAAGGCACAAAGAGGGAAACTCTTTCTGATAGCCACTCCCTCAACCACAGCCCTCTTCTGCTTGATTTTGAGGTAAAGTCAAACACTTGCAATTAACATTACATCAAAATTTACTTTACAGACAAAAGATTATCTGGTCTAGATTTTAAAAAAGAAAAAAAAAGTATGTATATTTAAATACTTTTATTCCCACCCAATCCCCTAATGAGACAGGGAATTGTAAGCAATAAACCTCAAGGATTTCTGGCCTAAGATTACTGCATTCAAAAGCTGTCCTCAACTGGAGATTCCCATTCAAAGCACATGCTTTGCATAATTGAAAATACATGACCTGGGTAGGAAGGAAAATATTTCTTGCAAAACATTTACTCTTCCCCTTGCTATGTAAAATCTGTCCTTCCTAAATGAAGGACACCAACTCCACATTATTTGAAGAAATGACACACCGGATTCAACTGGAGAAGGATGTTTGGACAAGTTAAGCACTGACTTTATGTTTCAGAAGCCTTGGGCTTCCAAGAACAAGCAAATTCTCTTCAGCATCATCAAGTGCTCTCAGGACTTTGAGTGCTTTCCAGTGCCAGTATGGAGAGAGGCACCATTGCATTTTGATTTGTCTGAGCCCCACCAAGCTCTCCATGTGTTGGAATTACCATCTAGAAGCACAAGAGAGCCTCCGACCTGCCACATCAGCACTTAGATCCTTGGGGAGACCCCAAGGAGCCCTGGCATTGTCCAAGTTCAGCCCAGCAAGCTTAAGAATGAGGCTGTGAGTGCAACACACCTAACAACAACTCCAAGTTCCTTACAAAATGAATAACAACAACAACAAAAAGCCACAACAACAACAGAGAGAGAAAAAAAAAAAAAAAAAAAAAAAGAAGGGTAAGGGAGAAAAAAATAAAGACCAGAACTTCACTCTGCAAATGGCTACCTAACATCAGAAACCAGGACCAGGATTACTCAAAAAACGCACACAATCACAAGAAGCAGCATGAAAATTGACTGCAAGTGAACTGCATGGGAAGCGTATATGGAAAGCTGCTGAATCTTGGAGTGCCTACAGCTGAATACAAACACATGTCTTTGAAAATCTAGGACCACTCTGACTGTATACGCCAGATGGAAGAGAACCACTCCCCATACAAGTCAGTGTCAATAAGGTCTGCTCCTGAGACAGTTTACTCAAAAGGATTTGCCAGTTCAATGTCTTTCCTTTCCAGGGCACAGACATGTCCTGGCTGTTTAAAAAATACCACACTTTTTAGGGCAGAACCAAAGAGGCAGATAACCACATTAGATAATCACACAAACAAGCATGTGTGGGATATTACCCAAGTTCAAAAATTGTGGTGTTAGGATTTTTTTTCTCCAAGATACCATTAGTCAAAGTACTGCTCACACTCTGCTCAAACACCAGATGCCCCCTGCCAAGAGGCAGGGCTGTGGATGCCTCCTCCATCCTTCCTCCCACAGAC